GTTATGAGTCCAGATTAAAAAGTTCATTTATAGGAGGCACGCGCGAAATGCTTCAAAGTAAGAGTGAAATAGCCCATGGGCCTCTTGTTTTCGTACGCGAAATCTGAAAATCTTCAAAAATATGTCGTTTGTCCACATACCAACACGTGCGTGTGTTTCATTTAACAAGCATCTTTCGTGTAATATTATTCACAATAGAGATAATGGAACTCTATAGATAGACTTGTCATTGATTCAACCCACACATGTTTTCCCGTTATAAATAGCTATCTTTTCAATAGATTTTTACGATAATTAATATACTTCATGATTAGGCTTTAAGTAACTCTTTTTGGGGGCTCTGGAACATGTGCGGCTCTTAAAGAAGCTTCACGGGGCAACAGCTGACCACGGCAATGGCAATGCCACAACTCTATTCTTATGTCCAATTGAATTCTGATAAAACTCTATTATTTGATTATAATTATTAGCCCGATCATGTATATATTTGACTACTTAAGGCTTATAGACATTCAATGCATTTTCGATAATCGAGAAACAGATTAATTCAAGCTGAATGTAACATGTTTTATTGATGTGCAAAGGCGCATTCAATTATCTTTTACACGCAAAATAATAAATTCAGGAGAAAAGTATTTTGTATGAAATATGATGATCGATTTGCTGGCACGCTTGTCTAGATTTTTAAAGAAAGAATGACTGAAGACATTTGTTGTATTTTGTTTAATTCTATTTTATGTTTCCGTCTGTGGCTTAACAGTTTCACACTAGCATTTTACATTCACTTTAGAAAATCTACATTTACTTTTTTCGTCTATTCTTCAAGCCTGAAGGTACCAGTCAATATTAATTAAATTAATTTTAAACAAAACAAAATTTAACTGGTTAATTTAAAAAAAGGTAAACAAATCAATCAAAGCTTAATAAAAATAAAAGGTTGTGTTGGATTTGTTCTGAAAGACCTTATGGTATACATGCATAAAAGAAAAAAATTGTTTTTAAAAGTGTTTCAAAAATAAATAGCTCTTTGATGTAAAAGCAACTATGTTTAAAACTTAAACAATAATATTTGGATTCTTCCTCGCACCTGATATGCACGTGTGAATTCTCTAATTTAATTTGACTAAATGTATTCGCGCTGAAGTGTGTGCTTTCCCGAAGGACGCGGAGTGATTTCGGTATATTATATCAAAAGGTTTGATCAAAAGTGTTTATTCTTCTCATTAAACTAAGCAGCATTTTTATTTAAGTAACTTGTAGCCATTGAATTTAACCTCAAGCAGTTACTCTAGGAATTAATAGTTTATCCTGCCCTATTGAAAACAAGATAAACGAACAAACGGAAGACAAAGCTAGGGGTAGTGCACCGTGTGTTCGAGTGGCCTCGGCTTTTATTCTTGGGTAACTAATAAAACACACATCATGTGGAGATTAGCCGTTTCTTATTGGTTTTTAAACTTTATGGATCCTTAAAGTAAACTTCCCCAGATTCAACCTTTTGAATTAGACTTTGCAATCAATTTTAAAATACAAATAATAGTGATTAAATTCTGTCAATAAATTTGCTCATTTTCTTTTTAAAGTGGGAGTTCCATAAACTTTGTGTGTTTGTTTTTAAAGAGAAATGCTTTAAACTCTATGTCAACAGCCGTAAGAGATCCTTCCAAAAAGCCTTGGTCCTCATTTATGATTTTTATTAGGGCTTTTTAAAACGTAGAAAAATAAAATATTAGCATAAAAGTTTGATTTGAATAGAGAAAAATGCATTGAAATGATACCTTTTTAACCAAGTTTAAAAAGTTGTGAAGGACTAGGTTATTTATTAGGTAAATAAATCTTTTCAAAAAGTAAATTTTTTCATCAAATGAAAGAATTTGAACAACTTTCATATGGAGGCTCAATGCAAATGTTTGCTTTTTGAACATGGAGTGTTTAATTTGTCTGAATAGAAGATTTTTCTGGGGGTAGATCTATAAATTAAATAAAATAAGATAGTGCACTGTGACCCCTAGTTAGTCTTTACAATCTCAATATTATTTCATATTGATTTTGACTTTAGGACGCAATTGTTTTTTTCCCCTTCATTTTTGTGAGCCCTTAGAGCTTGTTTCAATCTTTTTATATATTCATATAAAATGAAATATCTTCAAATTTGTTTTCTATCAAATCAAAATGCATTATCTACAAGTTTTAAGAGACACTTGGGAGAAAAAAATCGCTAAAGTTATTAAATTTTTTTTTATTTTATAAAACTCTTCTACCAAGCTTGAAATAAAGATAGAATTTTTAAATGATTTTCTGAGAAAAAGAAACTTTTTTAATTTTTTATTTCAGGGCTTACAAACTTAAGAACATATAAAGAGAGAAATGAAATGACATCGATTATATTTTCTTTATTCACGCACTGCGTTGATTTTCCTTAATCAATTGTCAAGATGTGCAGTATATGAATAATATTAAATTTATGTTTCATCAAATGAAAAATCACACAGCAACATGTTGACTGTTATTTAGTACAAACTGTTTTTGGCAGTTTCTGGACTTAGATAACAAGCACGTGTATTTGTTTTGTAATATTTCACGAGTTGTCTATCATTTTAGCATTTCGTCGTGCAGGTATCTACGTCTAGATAATATACATGTAAAATCAATTTTAGACGGTTATTTAAAAATAAATATTTTTACTATATTCCGTTAAATTGTTACATTAAGCCGTATTTCAAAACAAGTTCAAATAATTGACAATGGAAAACAAAGCAGTGTTGATCATTAAAAATGCAAATGGGAATGAGAATATTTTCTATTTCTTTTGCTAAAGTATGTTATGGATTAGATACATGTAAGGTGGAAAATTTTCTATTTAACTCGACAGAAATCACACATAAAATAAAGGCAAATTTTTTTTATACTGTTCTAAAGTTTCTTTAAGATTTTGAATATATTTTATCAACCAAAGTCCATTCTATATACAGAACAAAAGATTTTCACAATGACCAGATAGGTGTATTAGATTCAAAAGATTTTAAATGACTATTTTAGTAAGTGATTTAAGAATGGGATTGACTTTAAACGATGCTTTAATTTGAGGATAAATAAGTTACGTTAATAACCATTATACCCGCTGATTTGGCATACTTTAAAGGTCCTGATCTGAAATACAACAACGAACAGAACCGATTGTTACGCAAAAAATCAAGGAATGACGTGTCTTTGGACGATTTGGACTATTCTAGAAACAACAAGGACCTCTTTCCCAGGGATCTTTAAAACAATGTTGTCAATATTTTACATATAGATCAGAAAAAAGTGATTCTTGTAAGTTTAACAGATTGCAAAGTCAAAGAATATCTGAACCCCCAAAGTGATTTCATTTTCTATTCATATCTGATAATTATACAGACTATTTCCCGTTAAAAACTTTTTTTCAGTACATGAAGTTAAAGCCCTAAATTAGTTGAACTTAATTTTTTTGTCTAAAAGTCAGAAAATAAAACCGTAAGGGCGCAACAAAAAAATATATTGTGAATTATAGGAAGAAAAAATATGTAGCCAGCTGCTAACAAATTTAAACAATTCCTCGATTCGTACCATGGTACATGGTAATGAGTTGGAAATATAAGCAATCTTTTGATTCAATATCCTCAGCTGCAGATAGTGATAAACAATATTCCTCGTTTAAACAATACTACTTCGAAGTATTGAGAAAAATTATAAGTTGTAATCTATAGCCATAAGCGTAATATGATCTGAATTCAGGACAGCTGTTGAGGTGGTAAGTCAAGGCGATATGCAAATGTATTAAAATTGTTTGATATTTAATGACATATCTTAATGTGAACAATGACGTAAACTATTTTTTTTTTATTTTTACTGTACATGGTAAGGTATTTGTTATTAAATATTTGATGAAACATTCTTATTTCACAGCATCAGTAAGATAAGATAAATGTACTCATTAATAAATGTACTTTTGGTGAAATATGCGATTGTAACTCACTCTCATATACAGGGTGTCCAATGCAGGGACATACTTGGAAATAAACTCAGTAAATTATGTACTTGAGATAGCGGAAGTTAGACTTAAATATATTGAGTTAATTGAGTTACTGGCTTTTTCTCCTTGCAAACTTGATTTCACTTTTAATTATTGTCACTAAAATAATAGTAGTAAGCTTTTACTTTTATATTTATTTCTTGAAAACTTAAAAATTCTACATAATAAAGAACAAATGCTCTGTTTGATTTACACAGAGCTTTAGAAAAACTATGACCAGATGAATGTTTCATGGTCATTTAATGAGATATTGGAAGGCTAATGGCGATCAGCGGTCCCACTGAAGGGGCAACAAGTGGTGCTCTTAGTCCAATTCGTGGAACAAATGTTTGTTTTATGCTTAATTTCACAACGTTATCGGGTATTCAGTAATCCCTGCTTTCGATGGTCCGAATTGTCGACCATTTTGACCAAATCAAAGAAGGCACGTGTAGCGGACAATACCTTTTCAGAGGTGATTTTTCTAATAGAGAATACCCACTCACGAACAGCTGATGAACATTTTATTCAAGAGATTTATGGGGCTATAATTATATCTGTTTAAGGGATAGTTTTAGTCCCACATGATGTAATTTTCATAAAAGTCCATTGAAAAAAGAAAAAGATTCCTTTTCAGTTATTCGAAAATACTTTCGATATCAGTGTAGTTTATTTGTATCACCTTGAAAAGTTGTAACTGTAGACCAACATGGAAATTACAAAAAGGAAAATCTAAAATGAATTAGGAAGTTTGTTTTAGCCAAGAAATAAATCTAGCCATAGAAATATCAGATATCTGTTTTTCTTTCTTTCCTTGGATTTAATATTAAAGCTAATCATATAAAGAAAGCACTTTTGACATTATGTTAAATTGCTTTTTTGGGAGGGGGGTATTTTTACCATGATACCTTTGATATTTTAAAAAAATGAGATAATAAATGTAAAGAAAAATGGAGTTTATGATTTATTAGTACAATAAAGAGTCCACAGATATAAAGATCAAGTAAGACATTTGCAGCAAATATTGCACCTTTAAAATAAATATCTGTAATGTACATGACATTCAGTCATTACTGCAGATGTTACAGCAAAAAGAGAGACAAGTATGTGGACGTGTATAATTCATCAAACTCATCCAAGAATCAACAAATTCTTGCCACAAAACAAGAAAAAGGCTACCCCTTTATGTCACAAATAATTATGCAGGTATTAAAATATTTCAACACTTATTATTTTTATTCAAAGCAAATTAATTTGTTTTTGAATCTTTAGAAATTAATACATCATGATACATCAATTTCATCATCACTCTCAGAACTACTTGTAACGGCATCATCCATTGGTTGTTCTGAATCAAACGCCACATCTCTGAGGTCACGTGATTGTGAAATATGAATTGTTTTTTCAATGTTTTCTTCAGGTGCTCTAGTCTGTGTGCACTCTAATTGTTTGCAAGCAATATGACCATCTTTATTGATGACGTCATCGTCGTTGTTGGAATTTGATTTGCTCGGTAAAGAACTATCACGTGAGCCACCTCCTGATAGCATCTCCCGCTCTTTTGAATTCCTCCATTTCATTCTTCTATTTTGGAACCAAATTTTGACCTGAATTAAAAAAAAATATTGTTATGGCAAACTTCTCAACATGTACAATTTCGAGAAGCTACAATTGAATGCATATTGAACCAACTTCTTGCTTATCATAACATATGTTGCTTTATTTGATGTAAATTTCATCATGTTGTGTGATATAAATTAAGAGAAACATATGACATTTATTATATTGAAATATTTACATAGTTATTCCTGCTGTTACTGTGTTCACTTAATAATGTGAAGTGATTCATCCACAAATTATGAATTTTTTGATCGAACTTTATTAAGTAGAGCACAACTTTTTTTTTCAAATTACAGGTCAAATAATGAACTTGTCTTCATATACAATAGATGTATGACCATTGTCAAAAATAGTACTAACACTCTATGGAGAAAGAAATCGGAAAATAGCCAAAGGTGTTATGTTTCAGACATGCTTTTAATGGGACAGCGTGCGTCCAAGAAGTTTGAGATGATGAAAAATTATTAAAACAATGATTGGTCATTAAACTTGTGTTTATTTGTGTACGTCACACACAGCTGTTTGGAATTGTTCACGAAATGCCCCTCGGTTTCCGACTGCATCGATTAGGTGTCAAAGTGAAAAGAAAGCTCTGTCGCTATTAGCTAATGCAGAGAATCCCCCGTGCATGTGATTTACGGAGAAGAGAAACTGTTTAAGATGGTTTTTATCAATTGCCCGACTTCGTCCGATCACGCATGCATTTGGAAGGATTTGTAAAGAAAAGGAGAACCCACGAGGAGTTGCAGACACTTTGTATTGTAATGGAAACATCTGGTATAGACACTGTATAAGAAATAAATTGGAAATCGGGCGTCGATTTTGTACTTAATTAGTCGTTTAGATTTCATAAAAGTCGCTACAATATCTGGAGATGACATGAATGTTATTCGGAATTGTTGTCGCGCCCTTGGATATCTTATTCATATTCTCACATTTTGCTAATTACAAAAGAAATTTATTTATACACTGTCATGATTTGATTTAATATATCCATATGAAATTAGTTGTATGTTTATTTCCTTGATTAAAGCAGAATTTGTACAGGTTATGAACATGACGTAAAATCTACTGTCATTTATCTATAGCATTGAGAAAATTGAGGGAAAAAAACAAAATACTTTAAACGGCAAGAAAAGAAAAAAAAACACGAATGAATGCATCTTTATTCATTTTCAAAGATCAATTTGCTTTTGAAAATTATCAACTAAGAACATCTTCGTACTTTGCAATAAAACTGTTTTAATTTTGTGAATTGTTGCATGTGAGGAAAAGATTTCTTTGAGCTACATGTAAAGTGCCTGAAATACACGTGAATACGTACTTGCGAATCTTTTAAACCTAGTTTGGCCGCTAATTTTTTCCTGTCCGGTTTGCTGATATATTTCTGTTTTTGGAACATCTTTTCCAAACCTTTTCTCTGCATGTCTGAGAAGACGGCTCGCCTTAACATCCCCCTTCTTGGTTTTCCCCGCATACTGCTAAGAAACGTAAACGCATTTGGAACCGGTAAAAGTGGGGAATCTGTAAAATAAACCAAAATTTCTAATTATAATGATGTTTAACTTTTAAGTTTTAATATAAGGAAAGCTATACCCCACCAACCTTTGATTTGGACTGATAAAGTACGTACAATGTATATATATATATATATATATATTTAGATAATACATGTAAATATGTTCTTGCCCAGTAAATCTTAAACAAAAAAGAATTTTGCCAGGGATACTAGGCAAATTCTCTGAACTGTTATTTCGTTCTCCTTATGAGTTATTGTTCTAATTTATTTCACGTAAATATCCGAAGAAAAAAACACGTGAAACGATAATTCTATATAAAAATGAATACACTGACGATATAATAGATGGAGGAGATTGCATTGTAAAGAAATAAGCATCCCTTTCCATAATATAAATAAATATACATGTACATTGTTATAGACATTTTTTTATAGAATTCTTTTAGGGAGTTTATGGATTTTTTTAAAGGAATACATTGTAATTATGTCATAAAAAATAGTTCATCAATAAAAAACGCAGGGGATTTACGGGGGAGGGGGGAGAGGTCAAGTCCACAAGTACCTGTGAATTGCATAATCATTTTGCATACTAGTGTGTCTATGGAAAGTATCAAATTCCAAACCCAGTTGTCTTTTTTTTTACTGCTATGTTACTAATATATATAAAGTTATTTCCAAAAACAATGATGGACACACTAACAGTAAACATTTTTCAATTGTATTGGATTTCCTGGGGGCGATGTAATAATTTGTCATCGGATCTCGTAGGCGATTGTGATTATATTACACGATAAATTTCAATTGGGTTTTATTGAGAATGATAACGATTTAAGCAGCGCCAACTGTTGCCGTCATTTTGTGTACGTTAATTATACTGCATATAATCTCATAATCAATATTTCGTATATTTATATATTTCCTAATATCTAAACGATTTCCGTGTTTATGTATATTCCTTATACCAAAAAGAAAGGGAAAAAAATTGGATTTAAGGGTTTGTAATAAATACAATTTTAAAGAATGTTAACAAGTTATCAATTAATTATTTTATTCATTGCTTGTCATCCAAATTTGGGTACGAAAAAATATAAAAAAAAAAATAAATCATTTTGATAAATTTTATACATGTTGGAAATTATCTATTTACCAATGAATACGTATCTTTACAAAACGACGTGAATCTAATTCATGAAGTTTTTATAGGCCCATCAATTTGCCCTAATTTAAATTCAATTGTGAGCTCTTGTGTGCACAGGTGTGCATATCTCTCTCACAGCTTTAGAAGAATTTGACAAATTAGTCTGAAAAATTTATTAGCGAATGCAGAATTAAAAAAAAAAAATCCTGCAGAAATTTAACTTTGGGGGAGAAAAAAAAATCGTCCTACTGCAAGGTTTGACTTTTCCACATTTTATACGGGGTGTCTCATTTGCATTTATCGTCAATTTCCCCCCGTGGAACGAGGTGCGTTTGATATCCTATCTGGTGTTAACAGTGGGTGGTATGACGGGAACTTCTATAAAGAAGATACCGAGTTCAGTAAATCTGACATATCAAAGGGGGACACATTCAGCCCTAGTCGTGTAAATCTGGCAAATAATTCCGGGTTGCCTTCAGCCCAACTCGTTACATACCTTATAAGTATTGAAGAAATCATGCGAGAGAACACATGTAAACACGTGCGAGTCTTTCATGTATCTTAACTCTTGGGTCAAGTACCTTTCATGATTAAAGGCTTCAACTAGAATTATCACAAACTCAATTTGAAAAAAAAGTTTCATGGTAAAGAGGTCTTTTTGTCAAACTTTTGTTTATTAAGTGGGTGATACATTTCGAGTATAAAATATTCATTTGATTTGATTTAAAAGGAGGTATGGGTCCGTCGTTTAATGAATACAAGAATCCCTTTTATTAAGACATTTGATTAGAGATTGGATTGCAATGAAAAAGTTAAACGTCAAGGTATATCACTTGATTATTTATTAGTGTATCTAGGCGAAGAGCACCTCCGGTGTTATTTGAAATTTTGCATAGGGATAGGAAATATTTTGATTGAACATTTAAATAGCGATGACCATTAGCACACACAACTATTAGTACATAATTGCAGAAGTTTATTATATTGATCGAAAATTGGCTTTTATCGCGCAAGTATTGCTCATGATAATATCTATCTTTCAACAATTAAACACGGCCCGGTCCATCTCGAGCTGCGGCCTCGGACGAACTGATATCGCCCCGGGTTTTCTTGGCTCTCATACAGTGGCGCCGAAGTGACAGTTATTTTTGTGAAATAAACAATTGATAAAAGAAAAACTCGTTAGCATGGCCATCAAACTAATAGATACATCAATGGAATAACTCATCACCCTGATGCTAAATTTTCTGAATTCCTTCATAAAAAGTGTTTGGAACTTTTCTCTAATATAAACAGAAAGTAGCAAAGACCTTAGTGGAATTCAAAATCGCAAGATCTTTGGTGGTCGCAGAATTTGTTTTCTTTTTAATAATTTATTGCCATAACCCAAGCTTGTTAAATAATTTTATTCTTACAAAATTCAAAGAGTTATATACAAAGAGAAGAAAGTTTATATCTAGCAAAATAAACTAAAAACATTTATTTTCTTACTTGTAAAATATGGATGCCTCATCATTCCATTCAGATGTGGATCATAGAAAGGGTGGCGCGGAAAATAGGCGGTAGGGTGCGGCAACCCCTGTCCCACAAACCCTGTTCCACATGTCTTTAGGTAGGAAGCTGGGAGTCCGGGGAGGGACGAGGGAGGGGTAGTCAGTGTTGAAGAGCATGCCTCCTCCACTGAAAATCAAATGAGAAAGATTTTGTACTTTATCTTTACATCTTAACTGTTGGCAAGTAAAGTAATCATCGGAAAAGATAAAGTATCCATGAAATCTAATTGTCATGAAATGTTAACAATTTATTTTTGAGTAAATTGACCGAAAATTTAAAATGCAAGCTTCAGAAAGGTATGTATATTCAGAATGAATATTTTGAAAATAAAAATAAAAATTCTCGTTTCTTTTTTTGTTGAAATTCAACTTACCATGCTTTTGTACATTTTCGTCATCAGAAGATCCTAGAATTGCATTAACTCCGAATTTCAGGAACGACGATGCTGAGGGACTTTGTCGCGTACCGTCGGCAGGAGACTTCGGTTGTGGGGGAAGAACGGGTCTCCCCAAGGGAAACTGGCGAGAGAGCAATGAGTGACCTCTCTCACGAAGTAAATTTTCAACAAGAAACGATGCAGAGGGTCCTGGTTGACCAAGTCCTTGGGCGTCCAAATTGGCAGCTGAACGAAGATATGTTTGATACAACTGTGAAGGCGAAATCACATTAGGAAACATTTTAAACCATGTAAGTCTGAAACCTGTTTTATACTAATAAAAAATCTGACAAAGTATTTTATCTTGCTTTTCCCCTCTTTAAGACATGCAAGAATCACACATTCCTTATGGATTCTATGTTAGAGTTTGCGGCATCAACCTGTTTTATCCCATATTTTTTATGAGCAGATACGATAAAATTTATTCGGTTTGATTAGCTTCTAATTCTAAACAATTTGCAAAAGCGGTATTTTATACATTATAATATCAACAAATACCTAACACGTGGCTTTTAACCAATCAAATGCGTAAAAAGCTTCCAGCTTCCTTCGTATTGATATTCTCATAGCTCGTCTTCGTTCGATATGGGCGGGGCGATGGGCCGAACAAATGAACCGATTTAGGGGACACTAAGAACTCATTTACATAGAATCGAAGCAATTTAAATAAAGTTAAATATTTCACGGTACTGGATATGAATTTTATGATGCTTTTTAAATCTGCGTTAAAGGGCAGAGCGCTTCGGAGACACCAAGCCACCGTGAACAAATTAATCCGTTTTATCCGAATTCGCCAAATCCCAAGTATCAACGGTGCGAAGATCGACCTTGCGTTTTATTTTTACAGAGGATATAGATAACGTTGAACAATAAATTGTTTTTCTAATCAATCTCGGAGTACTTTGGTTATACAAAATTACTTCATCTATTACTTATACTTTTTTAAAGTCTGAAATTCCATGGGACTCTAATCTCATTTTTCCCCTCCACTCTATAAGGTCGTCATTCACGGCATTGGTGTGTAATTTCATATAAAAGTCATTATATACTGATAAGCAAAGTATAGTGGAGATTTTAGAAAATATATTCTTCATGACACAAAACTTAACTGTCCATAGCTGCATATTGTTAAGAAAACTGAGAGAAAAATTTAGTAAATACTACATACAATGTATATTATAAATAGGTCGAAATTTAAATATTATTTTTTAACAAAAAATTGGTTTGAGGAACATGGTTACTTATACTTGTTCAATCACAAACATGCAAGCTTTTAAAAAGAAATTAACTACATATAACATAATAAGTAATTAAAGTCAAAGGCAAAAAATTGTTCTTGTGAAGTAATGTTCAACAATTCGAGATAGTCCACTGATTCCTATTCTCTAGTCCTAATCTCCTCATTTGCAGTCAAGTGCCGAATAGTAAATAAAAATTTTAAGAGAGTTTTGGAAATTCGATCATTATTCGGTTCAATTTGTGATCCATGAAATAATTATTTGCAATTATTTTCACGTTAATTTCAACGAGTCCTTTTACCCCCAAAACGCGAACTACCTTGTCTTTTCGATAATTTGAAAATTCGCCACATTGCTCATAAATCGAAAGGGACCATTTCATTTAGAAAGGAACAAATGCTCATAGGTGATAGAAATGACCCTCCCGAGACGGATGGGCGTTGACCTTTTTAATTGCATATGACCCCCGTATGACGAATGCGGTTAAAATCATTCTGCAGAAGACTAATAAATAAACTTATAAAGCATCAAACGTTTGCAAGCAAGCCAGGGGTTACGTGGGTCTCTCTCTGACCAAAAGAAGTGTCCTCAAATACGGGGGTTCTTAATACGGATGGGTTGACCAAATCAAGATAGAATTTCCTCACAGCTGGGGTATCGAAGTCGTTATTGCGCGTCGGTAATCGGTTACACGCCGGGAGAATGGGTCCATCATGGCGTGTAATATTGGGCGCAGTGATATGGATTTGCAAAAAAAGAGATAAAAATGTTTCATTGATGGAAATGAAAAGTTTCAAAGCTTGTTACGATTTATTCATATCGTCTTCTTATGGGAAGTACATGAAGAAGACAGATGGATGAAAAATTATTAATCGTTTTGCGTTTTTTTTTTTTAACTGTGACAGTATTTGCATATATTTTCATAATTTTACCATGATATAGTTTTATTAAATTATTTTCAATATTTACCAGAAATTTTTACTAAATATTTTTTTTAAAAAATTAAAAAATATGATTGGTAAATTGTACCTTTATCACCTCCAAATTTCATTATTTTTTAATTGAAAATTTTAAGCGTATTTTCTGTTTGAAACGATGTCTGTCGTATTTTTTTGTTTCAATTTTCAAAATATTCTTGATTGTTTAATATTGAAGAAGTTTTTTTTTTTTATGTCGACTTGTGTTTGACCCTCCTTATAACTATTTTGGGGGAAAGAAGTCGTTTCTACTGTCATAATATATACATCTTATAAATATGAACGAAATAAAAGAAAAAAAAAATAAATATTTTGGAAATTTTTGTTTTTTTCAATTGAAAAAAAAGTAATTTAAAAAAAAATTGTTATTTCCAATCTGAATTTTTCATACGTTCTGCAAGTAGAAGTTTTCTAATATTTTTTTAAGTAAAGAGAATGATCTTACTTAATTGTTAATCTGCCGCCATGATCCACTTAATAACTTATAAAGACGTTTAATTACTACATGTATGATCAAATCAATTGTATTTTGATTTTTATTTATAACTAATGTATGTTGGTTATTTTTTCATAACTGAAATAGACATGTAACAGTGTAACAGTTAGAGGGATCACAGATATGTACGTCGAAATCAAGAAGAGACGCTGGAAATATTTGGGTCATATTCTTAGACTACATTGTAGATATAGAGAACATAACAAGAAGATCTTTGAAATGGACACTACCTGGAAAGAGGAAGTCTGAAAGACCAAAGGACACATGGAAGAGGACCAATGAAACAGAAACGAAGGAAACAGGGTATGACTGGAACAACATCAGAGGAATTGCAAATGACAGAAGCCGATAGAGAGACCGTGTTGCCGCCTTTGGTCTGGAATTGCATGACGAGGAATAACTAAGTATATATGCTCGGTACGAACAATCAGTCAGTGACTATAACATTTCTATTTCATGCATGAAAAACAACCAAATACGAGGGTTGTTACAAAAGTAATGTCACATCTGTCACAACTGCTATAAAATCTTTAATAATAAAATGTTATCAACAAATTTGACATACTAATATCCCTTACTATTTTAATTTTTGCCTTAAAATTTCATTCGATTATATAAAATACTTTTTAAAATATTAAGATAAAAACAAAGTTAGGTTTTGTCTATCGCCGCACGGCTTGAATGTTATACCGAAATCTTTCTGATGTCACTTCGGCATCATTTTCGGTTCATCCACATACCTTTTTTAACTACTCACATGCTTCTTTCAATAATCTTTACTGCCATTTTGATATAAACTATCTTGTTTTGAGTTCAAGTATTAAAATTATTTAAACTCTGACCAAATATTATTTCTTAATTCATTTCTTTTCGCGTACTGTAAATCGTATGTACCATCAGACTCAAAATTAGTATCCAAGAAAAACATCATAACGATAGTGCATTTTTGTCGTGCAGCGATAGACGATACCCAATGGCGTGTTTATTTTAATATTTTATAAATATTGCATTTATCTGAATGAAATTTTAGGGCAAGAGTCAAAGTAGATAGTGGTATTAGTACATTAAGTTTTGTTGAAAATTTACGTGTATTGAAGACTTTATAGCAGTTATGACATAACTTTTGAATCAACCCTCGTATCATTACTCATAAATAAAAATCTGACTAGTACATTTCTATTTCTACTTGAAGCATGAAAAATAACCGAACATACATAACTCATAAATAAAAATTTGACTGTTACATGTCTATTTGAAGCATAAAAAATATCCAAACATTAATTACTCGTAAATAAAAATACAAGTACAATTGATTTGATCGTACCTAGTATATATTCATGCAGAAATTATTAAGTGGATTATGACTGCAGATTACCAAAGCTGATCAATCTCATTTACTTTTATTAACAAACAAACAAACAAAACTATCAAGTTATTACAAACTTCTACTTCCAGAGCGTATAAAAAATACAGATGGGAAATTACATTAAATGTAAATTATGAATTATAAAAAACAAAAATTCCCACAAAGGAAATGGGCGAACATAGCGTGCAGAAAGCCTATAGCTTCAAATATACAAAAATCATGTTCAGTTTGTGAATTCGGTATTTAGAGTAAAGTTCTCATTATTGAAATGTATGAAATTATGATAAACAAAACTTTTCTGAGGAAAATTTTCTCGGAAAATTTATTCTTTTATTAAAAAAAATAATGTGATATTCATGGGGGTTCGAACCCTAGCAATAAAAATCCTGAGTATCATTTTCTTTCGAGACTAGCACGCTAACCACTAAACTACGCAAGATCTGATGAATAGTGGCATTTAAATCATGTTTGTGATATGACCCTTGACTTAATGGACTTAAGTATTTCTCGAAAAGATGCGAATGATATGTCATAAAAGTATATTTTTAAAGTATAGTGGGACTTTGCTCCATATTTTAGGAAACCAAAAAATGTATATTTTTATGCAAACTTCGGGGATTAACTTTCAAAAAATGGAGCGAAGACCCACTCCTAACGAAAAATAGTGTTATAATATGAGAAAATGACTCTTTTTGCCCTCTTTAGTGTGTGTACAATATTTCATAAGCAAATAATTTCAATCTTTGTGAGATTTTTGCAAATTGTAGAGATTTTACATAAAGTATATTTTAATGTTAGATGAAATATCAAGGAAAATTTTGATATAATTGAGATTTAATTTTTCACCTTCATGTTTGTCACACTATAGGCTTTTCGCTCGTCATATTCACCCATCTTCTTTATTTTCCTTTATTTCGTTCTATTTTGAGGGCGGGGTGGGTGAGTGGGTGTAAGATCATCTTTGACAAATTCATGTATATATATTATGGTACTACATGTAGAAACGTCTTCTTTCCTCCACATAGGTTATAAGTAAGATCATAGATATGTCGGCATCAAATGAACTTCAATATCAAACAATCAAGGTCCTGAAATTAGATAATAAGCTTTAAGATGTAGATACTGAGCTATGTATTTTACATTTGACTATATTTACCACTTTTGAGGCTTCATGTAAATAAAAGTTCATCTTCACGTTTTAAATTTAAATTTTAAATTAATTTTTTTTTGGTTCAAATTGAAGTTGTTTCTCGTCAATATTTTTAATAAAATATACATTTAATTGTGTTTATACATATACAGCT